GCTCCGTCCGCCTGCCCTTCCGAGGGTAGAACGTTCGCCGTTCGGTGCGCCCAAGTCCAAATTAATATGCCACCTCGCGGACTCCCGCTCTATGATTCCCTCTTCCGAAGCTAGCAGCGGGTCGCTCGGCCCTCAGAGCCAATCCTTCTCCCGAAGTTACGGATCCATTTTGCCGACTTCCCTTACCTACATTGTTCTATCGACCAGAGGCTGCGAACCTTGGAGACCTGCGGCGGATTGAGGTACGGCCCGAGGCGAGAGCGAACACATTATTTCAAAATAAAAAAAGAAAGAGTTTAGCCGTCGGAGTTTCAAGGACCGTCGAGTCGTAGCCGAACAGGCCCCCGCTGGAGCCGGCTTTGCGGATAAAGTTGATTGCTCTCGCTCCCTATCTCCGGCAGAACCGCTTCCAGGGTCAGCGAGCGCACCTCAAAAAGAAAAGTTAACTCTTCTCGACTCTCCCGACGGTGTATCCGACCTTCTNTGCGTCGCCGCTTGTGCTCCGCCTTCGGGTACGGGAATCCTAACCCGTTTCCCTTTCGGCCCGTGCATTGGGTGAGACTGATTTTTAATGATTTTCAAAAACGTCCCGCTTCCCGTAGGATTTCTCCCAGGCCTTAGGACCGACTAACCCGCGGCCGATCGAAGGAGCAACGCGGAACCCTTCTCCACTTCGGCCTTCGAGGTTCTCGCTCGAATATTTGCTACTACCACCAAGATCGGCACCCGCGGCCGCTACACCCAGACTCGCGTCTAAGGCTTCAGCGCTGACCGCGGCGACCCTCCTACTCGTCTCGGCTTCGGTCAGTCTCTACCGGCAGGCCGGAGAAAATTGCCGAGACGGCCGGGTGTAGGCTGCACGCTACAGCGCCATCCATTTTCAGGGCCCACCAATTCGGCAGGTGAGTTGTTACACACTCCTTGGCGGATACCGACTTCCATGGTCACCGTCCTGCTGTCTTCGATGGACGCCTTTTGTGGGTTCTGCTGAGCGTGACGATCGGGCGCCTTAACCCGGCGTTTGGTTCATCCCACAGCGCCAGTTCTGCTTACCAAAAGTGGCCCACTTGGCACTCGTACATTTCGACGGGGGCCGAGCCTCCCAGATCGAGCGGTAGGCACCCCTTCTCGCCCGTTCAAAGTTTGACAATAGCTCCACGCCATTTCGGCACGGACTCCTCTAATCATTCGCTTTACCGGACGAAACTGTCTCGGCGAGCGCCAGCTATCCTGGGGGAAACTTCGGAGGGACCAGCTACTAGATG